GCTTGCCTCTTTGGTATCTGTGACCTCCAGAACCTCCATTCCAGCTGGAGCTGTCATGTTACACAAGACCGTTGATCTGTCTAGTACAACATTGTTGGAAACTSTAGTTTGTTTGGCAGTTAACTGATACACTGCAGCTGAACTGCTTGAGTTTAGTGCTCTCGGTTCACACTTCAACACGGCTTAGCTGAGTGCTGTGTGCTGGAGCTTGACATCATGTAGAGTCTCCTCTGACTCTATTTAAAAATATAATTAAATTAGTTAATAAATATCAAACATTTAATATTTCAAGTCATAAATTTACATAATTTAAAATATTTAAAATTTTAATTTTGCTTAAATATTCATTTACAAATTTATGCCTCTCCCTTTCATTCTCTTATTTGATATAAAGATCAGGACAAGTGAAAATTTGGGAGAGAAGTGGAATTGCAGATTCTGTGTAATGACAGGTATGGCTCCCTAATGTTAGGTTCTTTGCTACGCTTGATAGTTTGARCTGTTTGTAGAAAATCTCTATTATTTTTTTCATAGATGAACAAACCTGTGTGACCAGGAAAAAACAGTGATTCCCTCACCCTGCTCCATAGTGACTGACCGATGTTTTAAGCTGCTGATGGGGTGGTTGGATTCTGTGACCTCCCTGCCTGCTAGCAACYTGCTGTTTCTCTCTGTTTCACAGTTAATTACCGCATCAAGTGATTGATTATCTCACTTGTTGCTACCTCAGGCACCAAGTTGTTGGCTAGCTGCGTGTGCTAACATTGCTGTCTGTTTCAGCTGGGAAGGGCTACCCCTGCAACACATGTAACATAGTACTGAACTCCATAGAGCAGTACCAAGCTCACATCAGTGGCTTCAAACACAAGAATCAGTAAGTAACTTTCTTGTTTAAGTGTGTTTCCAGCCTCGCTGTTCAAATCAATGGCCTAACTGTAACATAAAATACCCTTTTGAATGCGTATTTCCAGCTGACTTGCAAGCAGAACAGTGCAGTTTGGTGAGCGCTTGTGCTGCTTGTTCTGAAGCAGATTCCCACTCGTGCTGCTTTATACCTGCTCAGCCTCTTTCGCAGCTCCCTCTGCAGACAGCTCTGCGCTGCTGCTGAAAATAAAAGTGCCCTTCCATTGCTTTGGGCTCCTGAAAAGATCCTGTGGACCTCTGAATGCATCTGGCCTGACACCCATTAAACACAGTTTTTGTAGCAACCAAGATTATAATTTAATTCAAACCTGACTTGGTGAGGTCTGCTTGCCATTCTGGTCTCTCTTGAGTGGCTTGTGTTGTAATTGAGGATGTAGTCAGCACGCTCCAGAAACCTGGGCTGTATTGCTGAACTCCTCCTGGTTAGTGAGTTAAATAGCAGGATCCCCTGGAACGCTGTTGACATCTGAGGCTGCCAGGGAGATGACACGTGATACTAAAAATACTTAGGCTGGACACTGTCAAAGCTGGGATCTTTAATTCCAGACCCTTAATTAAGAGATGGTCAGTCATGAAGCCAGATTGCTAGGAGTTTTTCTTAGGAAGAAAACAGAGCAATGCATTAGAAAACCCTGCCTGAAATGCAGGCACATCCAGAGCTGAATTTCCCAGCRAGGGGGATAACTCCCCTTTCAGGAAGCTGCTTCTGGACTTAGCTCTGACATCATGTTCCAGGCCAGCTCATGCAGCCTGAAGCGAGAGGAAAGGGTCTGGCCTTGTACCAGGAGCTCTCAACAGCCCCTAGCTGGGCAATAGCTAATTCTGCCCTGCTAAATAGGGCTTTTCCACACGCTCGGCAGGCAAGGATGYGCCTGGGTGCTTTCCTGGCAGGTCTGTTGCCTTGGCCGTTGCTCCGCTCATAGCCCTGTTTGCAGCTGACGTTGCAGAGCAGTTCTGACCTTCTTCTTTCTCCATTCTCTTCTTGTTGCTCCCTTGGATGTCCAGGATGCCAGGAGCAGTGCCGCTTGTAGGAGCGTTCCCACCACAGCAGTACGTTCGGGAAGAGTCAACTGCTCCCGGAGGCTACAGTTATTTCAGCCAAGACTTCTAGAGCAAGTTGCAGCGCTGTTCTGGGAGTTGGTGGTGGCTCAAGAACACGCGTCCTTTGCCAGCCCACAATGGTTTCATTATCCCCCTGGATAAGCAAAGCCCTGCCCTCCTGTATGCGCCCATTGAGCAGAACGGAACGGGGGCTGAACCTTTCAGAGAAAGGATCCAGCTGGAAAAGACTTGCTAGACAGCAAATACTTCACTCCCTTAGAGCAGCTTTCGTTGTGCAATTGCTTCCTGCAAAGGTGGGTGTGGTGTGAGAGGAAGTGTATCTGGAAGAGGGAGGGCTTGGCAGCAGGCTGGCAAGGCCACCTCCTSCCTCCGCAGAGCACGGAAGGGATCCTTGCACCTGGAAGGGCAGCATCCCAGCCTCCAAAGGGCCTTTTGCCAGGGGAGAGCTYCTGGACCCCAGGAAGCGGCGCTTGGCCGTGTGGAGGGGACGCGGTGCCTGGCTTTTGGCAGACCTAAAATAGGGGATTGCGGGACGGCGTCTCCTTGCTTCCTCTGGCAGGTTCGTGTGCAGGATTATCCTGTTCCAGCCTCTCGTCGTCAGTGTGGCGCCGGTTCTGGAGCTCTGTCGTCTGGGTCTGCTTAACGAGGAGTTRCCGTTTCTGTAGCTCAAGCTGCTAGTAGTAGGAGTGGGGGCTGAAAGAGGAGCTGCAGCTCCGGCTCTCCAGGCAGCTCAGCCCTCTGCTCTAAGGATTTCCCTGCAGAAGGAAGGAAGCGTTTAGCCTGGTTTCCTATGGAAACAGGTCTGTGTGATCATTCACCATGTGTGTCTTTGTATCCCTTGTAACTTAAATCAACTCCAGCCAAATTTGGCAATGATGAGATCTGTAAGATCTAACRTTGGAAAGAAAGGTAGAGTGAGATGAGCGTATCTCAGACTTCTGTTCTGTCAGGGTCTGCGTCAGAGTGCAGAATTTTCCATTTTGCCATGAAATACTCCAGGGAAGGAGTGATTTTAAGGGGAAAAAAAAGGAGGGAGGGAAGTATAGATGCAACAAAAAAAAAAAAATGTTACAACTCAGTTGAATCATGAGGTGACCAAAAAACCTCACAAAATCTTTSAACACCTGCCTTCTTTAGTCCTTTGCTGATGCTGCTTGGCCAGCCCTACTCCCCAAAGTTCTTGCAGATTGTTTCACCTGGAGGAAAAAAGAAACAAAGCTGTTCTACAATTCAAACATGGAAATCAAAACTTAATGGTCTCTTCCCTGTGCTARTGCACTGTAATTGGTAGGAAAAGCCCCCTGGCTTCCGAGGCTGTTGTGGTGGGGCGAGTCCTTCAAGTGTCCTGCCCTTAGGCCAGGGCGCGCTGGGCCGGCCTTGTGCTCGCAGGCCGGGCTCTCACGGCGGCCTCGGTGCCTCCGCGGAGCTGAGGCTTTGCCGGCCCGTGGCCAACCTGCTGCTTTCCTTCCATGCTCCAAAAGGCTCCAWGGGGCTGCTGCGAGGGGTGAGCACCGCTGCCTCCCGTCCCCGGTTGTGCCGCCGTCGGAAGGGCAGGACGGGGCCCTTCGCTGCAGGCACCGTGTGCCAGGGCGAGCAGCTCCCAAGGATGCCACCGTCTTTGCAGAGGCCCTTCCCCAAAGCCCCCGTGTGCCCTGGCCAGGTTAATCGGGGGAGAAGGGGAGGATGTTTGTGTCTGCGTGGAGCCAGTGCCTTCCGCTCCTGCCCCACACGTTTGTGGGGGTTTGCTGCACCCTGCGCAGAAGCTGCCGCCTTCGCCTGGGACGGGCTCCAGCTTCCCTGGCCCTATCCTCCTCGCGTTTCCCRGGCTCGCCCCGCTGCGGAGCCGCCTGCGGAGAGCGGGCTGCTCTTGAACCCTGCACGTCCAGCAGTGCACAGAAAATGGCAAGGGGCTGCAGGAAGCCTCGTGCGCGGGGGAGCGCTGGGCGGCCTCCGGGCACAGACTCTGCTGCGCGGCCCTGTCCTGCTCGGAGGGCACGTGCCTCCGCCTGTGCCCTGYGCTGACACCGAGGGGGGCCCCTGCAGCGCTGCCCGTCGGCGGGACGCCCCGCTGGCTGCCTGCGGACAAGTCTGCTCCTCCTGTGCCCAGTGTTTATGTATCTGCTGTTTCCCGAAGGTGACGCTCTCCAAATAGAGTGTTTGTTACTACTGCTGAGTGCTGGTTTCTCGCCGTCCTTCAAAGCAGAGAAYGGGATGCGGACACCCTTGGAATCCTTGGGGTGGGAGGGACGCCGGGGTCCACACCCCCTTCCCTGAGCCGCCAGTGTCCTCCCGAGGCCCTGGGGTGCAGCCCGAGCTGGGTAGGTCCCGTCCTCCCCGCTGCCCTGGTGCATGCGTGTGGCCTGGCCCTGCCACCGTCACAGGCGGGAGCAGGACAGCCTGGCCTGTGGGACGGCCGTGCTGCTGCTCGTGGTGATGGCTCCTGGTCGCTTGCTCCCTACTCACTCCCATGTGCTGGGTATGAGGCTGCCCCAGAACAGCCCCTGGTGCCCCGGGCAGGACGGCGTGCCCTGCTCCGAGGGGCCGATCCCGCGGGAGCTGCTGGCCCCGGGCAGCTCTCGTGTGCGCCCTGCGGGGCTGCCCCTCGGCGGCCGCTCTGCTCTCGGAGCCGGGCCGTTGGCTGCGGTGCCGGCCTCAGCGGCCGCTCGCGAGGCAGCGGCTGCAGCGGCAGGTCCCTGCGCGGCCCCTGCCTGCAGCCCGGCCCCCTCCCCGGCTGGCAGGGCTCTCAGGGTGGCAGCCACCACCAGGTGGCAGCTCTGGGGCTGGGGGGTGGCCCGGGGTACTCGGGACCACCACAGGCCTGTCCTGTGCTCTGGAYGTGGCCAAGAGCCTGTGTCCCCGCTCTGCTCTCCCAGCAGCTTCTGCAGCCGGGGGGCTGCTCTGACGGGGGCCGGTGCAGCACCCATGGGCGCCCTGCACATGGCACAGACTGCAGGGCAGGCTGCAGCGCGGAGCCGTGGAGGATCCTGCTGCAGGGAGCAATGGAGAATCCTGCTGCATGGAGCTGTGGAGGATCCTGCAGTGCAGAGCCAGGCTGGGCGCTGCTGCGYGGAGCCGTGGAGGATCCTGCAGCACAGATCCATGAGGATCCTGCTGTGCACAGCCGTAGCGGGTGCTGCCGGGTCCCGCTCAGCCTCCCTGCCGCGGCCTCCGCCGGCGGCTCCGTGCCGGCCGTGGCCGCCCGCGCCGGGCCGAGCGCAGCGCCTCGCGCGCTGGCAGGCGCCGCGCAGGGCACGGAGCCACCGCGCGGCCACATCCCGGGCGGAAGCGCCGCCGTGCCCTGCGCGGCCGCAGCCAGCCCCTTGGAGCCGGCGGGTCTGCGGAGCCTCCCGTGCRGCGCTGCCCAGGACCAGTGCCCGGCGCCGGCAGAGCCCGGCCCTGCCTGCAGCCCTCTGCCGCTCCGCTCCTTTGGCCTCCCGTGTCTCCAGCAAGGGAAGTGGGCCGGGTGCCTGCTTGTGACTTGGGGCTGGGGACACAGGGTAGCCCCGTTCCTGCTGGGGGAGATCTCGCTGCTCGCTCCGCACTGCAGGGCCAGCCCTGGCCCCGCCACGGCCGCAAGGCCCTTCCTGCCCCTTCCCGCTGGGATGTACCCGTCTCCGCGGGGCGGGCACACAGGGCCGGGCTCTGAGCTCCCCGGGGGCAGCGGCAGCTTCGTGTTTGCCGAGTCCTGCCTGGTTAAAACTTAACCGGGCCGAGTTGCTCCATCCGTCCCTGTGGCGGCAGGTAAGGGGCGCCGGGCGCCGGCTCCGTGCGGGCAGCGCTGCCCGACGCGGGGCTCGCAGGGGGCCGGGGTTGCACTTGGCCGAGCTGCTGCCCTCGCCACCYGGGCCCTGCCCTGCTGAGGGTGCGGAGCGGGTGCCGGGCGGGAGGCAGCGCGGCCGGAGCCGGCGGGACGGAGCGGGACTGGCCGCGGAGCGGCGCTGCCCGCAGCCCCTCCGCAAGGCGCCCGCGCTGCCCAGCCGCGGGTCCCTGCTCGTGAGGGGCTGCAGAGCGGCCGTGTCAAGGACAGCGGTGCTGCAGGCAGTGGGAGCCTTTCTCCCCGGCACCCGCAGGGCCCCTGTGCGCAGCCCTCGCCGGCCATGGCGTGTGCAATGAGCTTGCAGGGCCTCAGCAGCCCGCCCCGCGCACGTCCGGGGCTGGAGCCGGGGGAGCCTGTGCCCCGAACAAGGGCCGTTCAGGAGGCGCCAAGAGAAACTTCCAGGAGGAAAGAGCCCCCCGGGCTGCGCCCCCAGGAGCGGCGGGGCTCAGGGGCGAACGCGGCGGGGCCGGCGGCACGGCACGGCCCGGCACAAGGGCCGGCTCTGTTCCCGCCGCCCCGGCCGCCTTCCAAGAGCAACACTGCTGGCACCAGGCAGGCTCGCGGCGCCGGCCGCGCATACACGGGCCTTTCATGGGGGCAGTGGCGTGGATTTACTGCCTGGGGGAAGGGGCCGGGCTGGCAGGATGGGGCCCGGGCAGCCCCGCTCGGGCCTTGCCGCACGCTGCCCCCACCGGCGGGCACGGCACTGGGGACACTGGGGATGGTGCTGGGAACACCGAGCCCTGCGCTAGGGCACCCCCAGACCCATGGCGGGAGGGAGCGGGGAGAGGTGCCGCCCTGCCCGAGGGTCCCTGTGCCCCCCGGAGCAGCGAGGGCGGCTGCCGGGTGCCCCCGGCACGGGGAGCCGGCGCTGCCACARTCCCCCCCTGTGCTGCTGGGGGGGCGGCCGCCGGGCCGAGCTGCCGTGAAGGGCTTTTTGTTTGTCTTCAGTTGCTGCTATAAATCATGTCGGGCAGCCCCAGGCCCCTGGCCCGGCTCAGCCCCATGGCGGGGAGGGGATGGGCCCCACAGCTCAGCCCCACCGCTCAGCCCCACAGTTCAGCCCCACGGCTCAGCCCCAAGCTGCACCCAGCGCCTCCCTCCCTGGGGATGCTCAGGCTGGTGCAGGAGGGAGCCCTGGGGCAGGGGACTGTGGGTGACGTGGGGAGCACATCTCGGAGCCGGCCTGGGCTCCTCCTGTGCTGCTGCCCTCTGTCCGCGCTGTCCTCGATGGGGTACAGGGGGTGCCAGCCACCCTGGGCGCCGGGCCCGCGTGCAGCCTCCCGGGATGGAGCGGGGCCGATCGCAGCGTTCCCCTGCGTCCCGGCAGCCCGCGGGCGCTGCAGCGGCTGCCACTGCTCCGTGAAATCGATGTTCCYGTGCGCTTCACGCGCCGGCAGGAATGTCGGCTGAGCCAAACAGCTGCCGGCGGCCCCAGGGACTGCTCGGTGCCCCAGCACCAGGCCCAGCGCCCGGGAGGGGACACACGTGCCGGGCGACGGCGGCCACCGGCACTCGTAGCACGAGGCGGCTGAGCCCCTGTTGCAACGCGACTGTTTTATGCTGGAAGTTGCCATTTTTTCATGACAAAGCCCCGTAGGAAAAGTGGTGCCAGGCCCTGTGGGCACAGACTCAACCAGCGAGAGCCCTGTCCCCCCGCAAGGAGCAGAGCACGCGCGGGCRGCGTGGGGCACGTCCTGCAGCCGAGCGGCAGCCCGGGCACACAGAGGGGCTCGGGCTGCAGCCCGGGCACGCGGGGGGGTCACTGATGCCTCACCATGCTCAGGGCTGCCATGCCCGGGGCACTGGGGGCACCAGAAGGCAGGCCGGGCTGCAGGAGTGCGAGGCGACGTGTTTATCGGTGGGATTAGGGCCCCCAGCCCTGGCGCGCGGCCTCGCTCCGTTTTACAGCAGTCAGTTACGTGCTCCTAATGAGGGTCACGGCCGCTTTATAGCAGCGGGCAGCGATAACGCGGCAACTAATTGCGGCAGAATTAGCGAGGCGGCTGCTTCCCAGCGAGGAGCGGGGCCGGACACCAGGCAACGCGCTGCGCGGAGCCGCCCCGGCGGGGAGCCGCTTCCACGGCGCCCTTGGCATCCCCGGCACCCACTGGCAGCGCCGGGCAGCAGCGCCGAGCAGATCCTGCCCACGGGCACCATGTCCTGCCCAGGGAGGGCCGCCCAGCTCCACATCCCCGTGCGAGGGTGTCCTGGAGCCGGGTCCCCGCTGCAGGGCTGGCACCAGCCCTCCTTGCTGCCCTGCCCAGCACGTGGGTGGCACATGAGGAGGCRCTGGGCAGAGCAGACACCCTGCACCGCAGCCCTGGGGCCTGGGCAGGACAGGAGGGTCCCCAGCCCCAGGGCAAGGCAGGGGCCTGGCTGAGGGGGCTGTGCAGAGAGGCTGGGGACACTGGAGCCAGGGGACAAAGCGGGCTGATGGCCCTGGCATTGGTATGCAGCGGGGCAGCAGAGATAAGGATAGCGCAGGTCCTGCCCCCACGGCCTCTGCCCTCGGGCCTCACCCTGTTCTCCGGCTGGGGGATGAGGGCAGCAGTGGGRTCCACGCGTCCCGCTCCCCCAGCACGGGACTCCCCTGCCCGCCCGGCAGGGAATGCTGTTTTGTGCCCAGCGCCCATTCGGGAACACTGCACAG